CGGAGGTGGGGGTGTAGAGCATAACCCTACGGAGAAGGAGAGGGCGAAGGGGAAGGGAGGGAAATTCAAGAGGATCCCTAGAGATGAAAGAAATAAGGGGCCGCAAGGAGTAAGCTTGGAGAAGAAGAGAGGGGTCGATGCTATGGAAGTGGAGGACGGTGGAAACCCAAAAAAGAGTCGTGGTGCTGGAGTACAGGATGTGGGGAAGACATGGCAGGAAAACGATGATGTGGGGCTGTCGGGACAGCCCTGCGCGAACCAATGAGGCTTATATGCTGGAATTGCCGGGGGTTGGGGAACGGCCTGACAATTCGGGGGCTTCTAGAACTCCAGAAGAGGGAGGACCCCGACATTCTTTTCTTGTCCGAAACAAGGATGGAGCAAACGTAGGCTAGAATGGCTAAGATGGAAGATGAATATGACGTGCATGGTAGCGAAGGGTAGCGAGGGACAAGGAGGAGGTTTGGCTTTGTTCTGGAAGAAGGAAGTGGACCCGCGGGTGGTAGGTTTCATGTCAAAATATCACATTGACGCTGAGATTACAGAAGAGGATGGTTTTAAGTGGAGGTTTACGGGGATATATGGGGAGCCGAAGTTGGAAGAGAAAGGAAGAACCTGGGAGCTGTTGAGAACTTTAAGGAACCAAAATAATAAACCTTGGTTGTGTGGGGGAGATTTTAATGAGGTTTTACACGCCTGGGAGAAAGAGGGGGTGTGCCGAGGAGCCAAAGATGTATGGATAACTTTAAAGATGCACTAGAATATTGTGAGCTAGGTGATTTGGGGTTTGCTGGTGATGCATTTACGTGGAGGAATAATAGTCACACAGCATGGAAGTACATTAAGGAAAGGTTAGATCGCGTTGTTGCCACACAAGACTGGTGCGTCCGGTTCCCTGCTTATCGGGTCGTCAATGGTGACCCACGCCATTTGGACCACCGACCTATCATCATTGATACTGCAGGTGCAGCAACTGTTAGAAGGGATGCTAACCATACTCATAACCCACGTTTTGAGGCGGGGTAGTTGGAAGAGGAAGGATGCAAGGAGCTGGTGAAGATGGCGTGGGAGAAGGAGACGGAAGTCGAAGGGAAGAAGGTAGCAGGGGTAGTTAAAGGAGTTATGAGGGAGTTGGTTGAATGGAGTAAAAATGTCTTGGGGGACTTGGAGAAACGCATACACCGGCTCAAGAAGGATCTAGAAAAGGAGAGAAGAAAAGATATTAGTCCAGAGCAAGTGAGGTGTGAGCAGATGCTGCGTTTTAAGCTAAGCCGACTGGAGGAGAAGTTGGAAACATATTGGAAGCAGAGGGCTCATGTGAACTGGATGAAGGGAGGCGACC